TCATTGCGTCCAGCAACAGTAAATTATTTGTAAAGAAAAATGTAAACGGACTGTAAACGTAAACTTTTAAAATGTAAAGAAAAATTACAGAAAAATTGTAACTAGAAAATTTGTAAGTGCGGCCACGTCTGGAAGGAAGACAATCCGACACAGACCAGTTCATTAATCTTCTTAACCGTTCAATTAACAAATGTCTTAATTTACTCACGTTCCATGTTTGTTTGTTTGTTTGTTTGTTTGTATGTTTGTATGTTTGTATGTCGGTATATATGGACAGATGTTTGTGTTTGTACATATGGGAGAATATATACGTGTTTACGTACTCAAATTAAAGAATGTAAAATGTTTGTGTATGTACTGTGTGTGCATATGTATGTGTACATGTACGTACGTACGTATAAACAGATAACAGAACGAACGAACGAAAATGCAAACGAACGAACGAGTGAACGATCGAACGAACGAGTGAACGAACGAGCGAACAAACAAATAAACAAGCAATGATGGATGTAAAAGACTACATCGACTCGCCGTGAAGAATAAATTTTAATTTTAAATTTACGGGCTTCTCTCGCAAACATACATACAAATACAAACATACAAAACAACCATACAAACATACATACAAATACAAACATACAAAACAACCATACAAACATACATACAAATATAAACCTACAAAACAACCATACAAACATACATACAAATACAAACCTACAAAACAACCATACAAACATACATACAAATACAAACCTACAAAACAACCATACAAACATACATACAAATACAAACATACAAAACACAATTATACAAACAATCATACAAACAAGCAGACCATTGCACAATATACATAAAAAACAAATATGAAAAAAAAATGTATTCACACATACACAAATACATACACAATCACGTACAAACATACACATATACACATACAAACATTATAAACAATTTGTATTGCGTAATAACATAAAAACTTTTTTAAATTAAAATGCAAAAAAAACTAATCAAAAACAGTAAAAAAGGGCGCCAGATAAATCGAAATAAAGTAATTCTTTTACTGTTTCTACGGCATTCCATTAATTTTTATTTCCTTAAAAACAATCTTTGGCTTTTGGTTGACGTCATCAATTTAATTACAGATGAATTCGTACTGCGTTTTTCCTTTTATTTACAAGGGGTGCCATTGATTTCCTTGGCTTTCTGCTTGAAAATAAAAAAATATTTATCATTGTCGTCGTCAGCATCACCACCACCATCATCATCTTCTTCTTCATCATCAGCAGCAGCAGCAACATCATCATCACCACCACCACCATCTTCTTTTTCATCATCATCATCATCCCCACCATCATCACCACCATCATCACCACCATCATCACCACCATCATCATCATCTTCTTCATCATCATCGTCGTCGTCGTTATCCATTAGGAACGAGAGAGCGAGAGAAGGAAAAAAATGAGGGAAAAAGAATAAAGTGACAAATGCAAGCAGCACGTAACCTGATTATACCCACCTTTATATTTTATTTCCCGACAATCACACACGCACGCACACCACACGCACACACGCACGCACGCACACACAAACACACACACACAACAACAATAATAATAATAATAATATAATAATGATAGTGACTTAAAATTTGATTTAGCAAATTCCCAGGCCAATAAAATGCGATGAAAATTGTGTTTAGAATGTATATTATCCAGGTAGGATGTGTACGTATGTGTCTTTGTTTGTTTGTGTGTTTGTATGCATGTGTACGTGTGTCTGTATGTATGTGTGTGTTGGTGTGTGTGTGCGTGTGTGTGTGCAATATCGACAGGAGTGTATGTAATTTGTTTGTTGATTCAACCGCACTTAACACATTTCGAATCATGCACCTTCCTTGTTGTTATGTAAATAAAAGTAGTAGTAGTAGTAGTAGCAGCAACAGCAGCAGTAGTAGTTGTTATAGTTGTTGTAGTTGTTGTAGCAGCAGTAGTAGTGGTGGTGGTGGTAGTGGTAGTAGAAGTGGTAGTAGTGGTAGTAGAAGTGGTAGTAGTAGTGGTAGTAGAAGTGGTAGTAGTAGCAATAGTAGAAGAAATAGTAGTAGTAATGATACGACAGCGTTATCGAAAATCTATAAACAGTTCAGCAAGCATGAAAGTTCCTATGTATGTTTGGATGTATGTATGTATATATCTATGTGTATGTATGTATGTGTGTATGTGTGTGTACGTGTGTGTGTTTATGTGTATGCGTGTATGTAAATATGTATGTACATGTATGTATTCATGTATGTATGTATGTGTGTATGTGTGTGTGTATGTGTGTGTACGTGTGTGTGTTTATGTGTATGCGTGTATGTAAATATGTATGTACATGTATGTATTCATGTATGTTTGTATATATATATGTGTGTATAGAGGTAGAGAATAGAATGGAAAATGATAGTAGACAAAAATGAGACAAAAGAGAGTGTGAGAAAGAAATAGAGAGAGAGAGAGAGAGAGAGAGAGAGAAAGAGAGAGAGAGAGAGAGAGATGAAGAGAAGGAAAAGCTTTGGAAAAAAATAGGAGGTGTGCGTATGAATTTATAATAAGACGAAAAATAGAGCGTGAAACGTTTGAGTTCGTATAAATACTATTGTCAGTCTGCCTGTCTGTCTGTCTGTCTCTCTTGTTCTCGCCTTTCCAATCTTCTATTTTTTCTTACTCTCTCTCTCTTACTCTCTTTCTCTCTCACTTTCTTTCTCTCTCTCTCTCTCTTTCACTTTCTTCCTGCCTTCTGCAACTGCCATTAACTGTTTATACAGATTAAAAAAATTTATTTCTCCATGTCCAGGAATGCATGTATCATCCATCCATCCATCCATCATCCATCCATCCATCTATTAATATCAATCCATCCAGCCAGCCAGGCATCATCATCATCATCGTCATCATCAGCAAGGTCATAATTTATCATCATCATCATTCTCAAGGTCGTCATCATCGTCATCTCGATGTCAATATCGTTAATGATTCTGTTCTACTGAAATGTGTCATGCCTGTACGAGCAGCGCGTACAAATTTGTACACTTATACGAATGCGTGCACACACACACACACACACACGCACACACACACATTCATTTCAACATGTGTACGTGTCTACGCCTGTGTTTTATAGTGCTAAAACAATCTTCTACGTTGAAAATATAAGAAAAATTTTTTTTTTATTCGTCCAATAATAATTCATCCGTTAGTCTATCCTTTTACCTTTTTTTAATCTTATTTATTTATTTATTTGAAAAATAATCATTCATTCATTCATTCATTCATTCATTCATTCATTCATTCACTCATTCATTCATTCATTCGTGTAATCACACGATACTTTTTTATTTAATTATTTTTTCATTTACGTGAATTCGTTCTTTCGTTTGCTCGTTCATTCCTTCATTCATTTGCTAATTCATTCATTAGTTAATTAATTCATTAATTCATTCATGCATTCATTCATTCAGTCAGTCATTCATTCATCCTTCTTTTATTTCTTGATTCATTTATTTATAGGCCCACCTATCCATTATGACCAGCAGGAAATGATTGTTTACACTTCTACGTATCTTGGCATCATCATCACCACCACCACCATCATCATCACCACCACCACCATCATCATTGTCATCATTTCTATCATGCTTTCAACCATCTTTTTCTTATAAATCTTTCATCATTTTAATCACCGCACGATTAACACACGCACGATCATGCCTGACACGTTCGCTCATATACACACACACAGACACACACACAGACACACACACAGACACACAAAGACACACACACACACACACAGACACTCACAGACAGACAGACATTTCAAACAGGTGAATGTGGACGACATGTTTAGCAAAATAAATTAGATACATGCATCATGTTCCTCGAGGTGAGAAAAATAGGAAAGAGTGAATAAAAAAAAGAAAGAGAGAGAGAGAGAGAGAGAGAGAAAGAGAGAATTAATAAGAGAAATCGAGAGAGAGAGAGAGAGAGAGAGAGAAAGAAAGATAGAGTGAAAGAAAAAAATGGTGAAACTGAAATAATGCAAAAATATGTTCATCTGATTTGATCGTATTTTTGATAACCACATAATACAAGAATGGAGAGATAGAGATAGAGAAAGAGAGAGAGAGAGAGGGAGAGAGAGAGAAATAGAGAGAGAGAGAAAGATAGAGAGAGAGGGAGAGAGAGAGAAAGTGAGGGCGAGACAAAAAAATTTATGTACCGTTATAAACCAGGCATAAAGGATGGAGAAAGAATGGGGAGAGGGATATTTTCTGTAAGGAGGGATGCGGTTATGAATATAAAGAGTGAAAAAGACAATATCTATTTATGAAGGCTCTAATCACACCCATTTGTAAGAAAACATATGTACACACACGCACAAACACACACACACACGCTTAATTACACACATACACAACACATTGCACACTTAAATATATACGTTTGCATGTATGTATACATGTACATTGTACACACATGTGTAACCATACTACACATACACACGTGAATAAACACACACACACTCACACACACACACGCACGTAACAGAGCAGACTCAAACATGGAATCATCGGAACATAGAAATGTTACCAAAAAACCTAGATAACAAAAAGCAATCGAGCGCATAGAAAACAGCATCTCCACCGTATGGCAGCAGTAGTATCGCAGGCATAAGATTTAGATAAACAAAGAATAATTAATATGGAAGAGCGATTTGATTGTTCAAACAAGACGATGTTTTGATGGCAATACTCAAATGTGGTGACTATTATAATTTCTTTGTTCGTATGTTTGCTTATTTCTATGGATACTTCTTTACTGGTTTTCGTGTGTGTTTGTTTATTTGAACGAACGCATGTATAAACGTATGTAAGTATGTTCGTTTGTTTGTTTGTATGTATATTTGTATGTATGTATACGTGTGTTTGTTTTTTTGTATGTATATGTGTATTCGTTTGATTTTATTATTTTATTGAATTTGCAAAAAGTTTGGCGTGTTTGAGAGGAATTATTAAATAAACGAAGTTTCTTTATTTATTCATTTATTTTTCTCTCCAGCCTCTTAATTTATTTCCTTCTATTTTTCTTTTACTTTCCGATCTCTGATGAGTCTTCCTTAAACCACCACCACCATTATCATCAACAACAACATCGTCGTCATCATCATCATCATTATCAACAACAACATTAACAATAACTGCATTGCAAACAACTCTCGTATTGTCATTTCTTTAAAAAGTCCCATATATCTAAACATTGAGAAAAAGCCACACACACAAATAAAAAACACACGCGCGCGCACACGCACGTTTGGAAAGCTGACACATGGTATGACATACGTAGCTGGGATTATCAAAGATTATTAAAAGCATTGCAATGATAAATTACACTGAATAGCCTAGCTTCGATATCATTAATAACAATAGTCTCAAAAAGTTATTTTAAAATACCAAAAATCCAAATTTATATTTATATAAAACTATTTCAAATAAACTAATGTTATAACAGCAACTGCTATTGCTTCTGCTGGTGGCACCACTCTCTTTGTAATCTAACATCAAAGTCAAGATTTTTAAAAATTACGATATTGTTAATAATGTATAAAGTATTGTTTTAATAAAAAAAATGGATAATTATATTACAAAATAAGTGAAATTAAATCTAAAATAGATTGATACCAATACCATACAATGTAATTCAGTCAATGTAATTCATTGGTTGAAGCTATTTATTAATGATTAGTAATTAAACAAGACTTTTATTATAATAAAACAATAATGAATCAACATTAAACCATTTAGACAGTTTTCTATTATATGATAATTTAGAGGATAAATTTGTCTATTAGAATATACAAATATTTTTGAAATGCACACATAAATGGATTTTTAGCGATTTTTTTAACTTTCTTGTTACCGTTTATGTATTAACATTTTACGATTTGATGATGGATTTCAATAACATTTTTATCATTTTGTACACTTTTTAATTTTAATTTATTTAAAATGTTATAAATAAGGATCGAAAATAAATAACTTTCACTTCATGAAACCTTTAAATATTTTTTGTCTAATCGGTTTTTTCACGATCTGCCTTTTACATATGCTTCACAGTCACTGAGTTCGAACCGTCACAAACTTTACCTTCGTTGCTTTCTACTCCTCTTCTGTGCTGAATTGTTCTCTCTTGCTCTCCTGTAGAATGCCGATCGGTAAAAATAAGACACAACCGATTAAAAGCTTGAAAATAGTCCTCCAACGTTCTAACGTTAATGATGTTAGTTTACTTTTTTTTTATTTAAATCACTAAATCACAGAAGCAATAAAATCTTAATTTTTTTATATTATTAATGGTCTTTTCAATAAAATAAAACTTGTATTTTACTTTCCTGGCCATTTAAAATGAATTTATTTAAGAATTTTAAATTGAATTTTATGTCAGGAAAGTTGGAGATCAACAACCCCAACAACAACAACAGAAATGTTGCCAATCTCAATTCCAACAACAACATTTTTAGAATCCACAACAACATCTTTTGATAGCTCTAACAACAATGATGAGTCTTCCTTGGTAATTGCTATACAACATTATTTATTGAAACATTTTTTCATTTAAATAGTTTTGTTATTTTTATTAATTATTATTTATTTATTTTTTCAAAAGTTATAGAACTTAATTAATGTGAATTTTATTTTGCAGCTATCTGCAAGCAATACTACAAAACCTAAAAGACAAGTTAGGAGCAGATTTCAAAATAAGGCAGCAACAAAACAACTACCACAACAAAAGTCTAACAACATCAACAACATTAACATTGTTGGTGGTGGGTCCAGATATGCCAGACAAGTTAAGAAAGCCAACAGCATCGACATCAGAAAGAACAACATCGGCAATACTAACAACCACATAGACAATGAAAGCATCAATAATAATGCTGATAATATTTTTTACAATTACAACGATGATTGCATCAATGACAACAACATCATTAATAATAACAACAACAACAACATAAATTTATTAGCATCTAAAATTTCAACCCTATCAACCACCATAACATCGGCAAAACTTGCTTCAGCACATCCAACAACTTCATCAACAACAACAGCCACAACATTAACGTCATCATCATTACCTACTAAATGTACTATCCCAATTAGATTTGTCATTAGCGACGACGATGATGAAGATGAGCTTATTGATGATGAGTTTGAGGTTGCAGCTGATGATAATAAAAAAAATATTATTAATCTTAACAACAACAAAACTACTAATGATTATGATTCATCAGCTACATTAACAGCACCAAGTTCAATGACATCAACACCGGCAATATTTGCAACTGCTACTACTGCTGCTGCTACTACTACTACTACTGCTACTACTACTACTACTACTACTACTACTACCATTACTACTACTGCTTCAATAAATACCATTAGCACTCATATACCTTCATCATCGTCGTCGTCGTCGTCATCAGCAACAACATCTGCATTGCAGGCAGCAAATGTTCTTGATAAATGCCTCAAAAATGGGAGTGCTCATTTGTATGAGCACATGAAAAATATGAATAATTATAATAATGATAATAATGAGAAAGTTGAGCATATATGTCACCATGATGACGATAACGATGATGATGATAACAATAGTGAAGATGATGATGAGTATGAAAGCAATTTATTATTTGATGTAGCCAAATATCAGGTATATGGATAAATTTTTTTATTTATTTTTAATAACAGATAAATGAATAAATACATTTATTTATTTATTAATATTTCAATTTATCTATTTGTCTATATTTCTCCCCGGTTCGTTAACACGTTAATGGGTTTGAATTTTTTTGTTTAGGTTAAAAGTGAAGAAGATTTAAACTCAGGTAGATTGGAGATGTGCTGTATTAATAAATCGTCCTGTCTCATCACTGGCTTATGTCCCGTTCTCAAGCTCGGTTCGTTTGAAATTATGATAAAGATAATATTATTACTTATAATAATAATTATAGTTATTTGTTGTAATCGTAATTATAATTTTTTTTCAGATCTTTCATTATTTTCAAGCGAAACACTGATCAAGACCCACCCGGACCATCAGCTGGAGATCAGGATTCAGAAGTACCCAGTACACAAATCCAACAACAATAATAATAATAATAAAAAAAATAATATTAATAATAAAAATAGTAATAATAATAAAGTTCGAAACGCCAATGACAACGTGTTCAGTAATTATGATATCTCACAGCCTGATGATTTGCTGGCCGCTAAGTTTAATACTGCTACCCCTACCGCCCTCAATGCTTATAAAAGTACTAACATTAAGAATAATAATGCAAATATCGATAGTAATAGTGATAATGTCCTTAGCACCGATGAAAATGTCGATATTTTGGATGCTGATGATAAAGCTTCTGCCGCTACTAAAGCTGCTGCTTCTACCACAAATACTATTTCTACTACTATTGCTACTCCTTCTACTACTATTGCTTACAGTAATAATAATAATAATACTCATGTTAATATTTCTAGTACTGCTAATAAAATTGGCGTTAGAAATGTTAGTAGCAAAAAAGCAATTGCAGCAACGACATCAACTTCAAAAACGTCAACATGCAAAACATCGACAACAACAACAGCACCATGTTCTGGTACATTCTCAAAGGTATCTTGGTACTGGGTGAGCCGTCCTTCAACAACGACCATCTTGAAATACGCCAGCTACCAGGCACTCACTTATGTACGTCACTATCACAAGTTTGCTTACTTCTCTTAACATCATCACTACCGTTCGTCCTATTACTATTGACATCTTCTGCTATTTTTTTCTAGATCGAAGCTCAGAAGAGTTGCAAAAGGGTAAGGTCAAAGTTCATTCAATCAAAGTCAAGGTCATTAAACAGGTGGTAATGAAGAATGATAATTAAAATGACAATAATGAGGATAATATCCATAATTATTGTAGTTGTCATATTATGAATTGATGATAATTTTACATACATGCGTTTAAATTTTTTAATCAAGGTCTCTGAAGCATAGTAGGTATATACAGTTTGGCACGAACGTTGACCTATCCAACAGGTGCATGTGGAGTAAGCAGTTGAATGAACTGCAGAGGCTGCCCGCTTTTATGAGAGTGTGTGGTTACCTTGTGATGGATCAATCCATTCATTCATTCATTCGTTCGTTCGTTCATTCGTTGGTCGACTGATCGATTGATTCAGTGGTTAAAGCCTAATTAAAATACTTATTGAATTCCGTTAGTGTAATACAATAACGTAAAATCGTTAATAGATGCACACACACACACAAACACACGTACGTGTTCACACAGACACACAAATACTCACGCACATGCATATACGCACAGGTCGATAATTACCATGGTAACATGCTGAATCATATTGGGCACAAGGTTCTTGGTGTTAATACCGTTCAACTTTATATGAAGATACCTGGATGTCGGACTCCTGGTTAATTGATTGATTGATTGGTTGATCGATTGATTGATTAATTAATTGGTTGATTGATTGGTCGGTAATTGACTGAGTGAATGAATGAATGAATAAAATAGTGAATGAATTAGGGAATGAAAGTATCAGTGCAGGAGTATATGATGGATTGTTTCATTAAAGATAGAAATATGAATAGTTAACATGTTAACGAAATGATACTTGACACTTGGAATAATACACAACAATTACAATCAGTCAATGAGTAACGCTCGATAAGTTAAATTTATCGATAAAATTTTTTGACGAATCAAATCAACCGATTAAAATGGCTCGAAATTAGGTCACCTGGAGAACAATAACTTCTGCTCGGTGAATTTGAACATCGGGCCGGGCCAATGTGAATGGTTTTGTATTGAGAGTAAACACTGGCAAGTCGTTCGAGATCTCTGTGACAGGTTATTTCAAATTAATTGGGTATTAATGCCTGAACCATTTCCATCATCGGCATCAAATTTGTCGCCACCGCAGCCACCATTTAGACTTCCTGAGTGGTTCTTGGTGGCCGGACTGTCATCAGTTACGTCACCACAACCTGCCACTGACGCACTTCACGCAGAATCCTGGCGACGTCGTCTGGATCGGTCCTGGTACCATACACTGGGTCCAGGCGAACGTTAGTGATGCTGCTGCTGCTGATGAAAATAATAATAATAACAACACTAATAACGAGTGATGACGTCATAACGGTGACGTAATCAAACAGGGTTGGTGCAATAACGTGGCGTGGAACGTCGGTCCGATGACGACACTCCAGTACGAATCGGCAATGTCAAGGTCGTTCTATCTATCTAATTACCGCGATCATTATTGTTTTTATTGTTATTCATGTTGTTATTCGTAATTTTTGTTTATTATTATTATTATTACAGTTACGAGCACAACGTGACAGCCTCATTCAAGTCCATCATACCGATGATGCAACTCTCCTGGAATCTGGCCAGGAACTCTCTGAGAAGTGACGCCGATGATGATGATGTTGTTGATGATGATGTTGGTGATGCTACTGATGATGATGACAGTGATGTTTTTAATAAATTAAACATTAAATTAACATAATCTAAACTTCGCTCCAAGATCTAAAAATAGACAGCTCTGACTTGAGGAAGATGATAAAAGACACGATAACGAACAGCCTACAATACATAACAACTACTAAAGACAAATGCACCAGGTTCATCGTTTGTGATGATAATTTTTACAGCGAGGACAAGTACTTGCGTAGCGAGATTGTACTTAATTAAGTACTGGTACATGACTATTTGTGGAAAAGCATATTTATCATTGAGTACTTACAATTGATTATTTACATTTCAGTTTGTCACCTAAGCTCGAATGTATAAAATCATTAATTAACCAATTAATTAACATAATAATTGACTAATCTGCGTAAATGAAATTAATAATTTTGAAGTGTATTTATACGTTAATTCGTTTTTTTTGACAGTAAATTGAAGAAGAAAATTATTAGGCAAGAAAGATTGGCCGATGACTTGGCTCACTATTGCGACACTTGTCAGGTTGCTAGCGTTGATGAGGACGATGCTGTTGTTGTTGATGGTGGTGGTCAGGTCATGACGATGTTGTTGGTGGCGGTGATGATATTAACTGATCAATAATAAATTATTGATAAAAAAAAATAATTAATTATCAATTCAGTAATTTATTAATTTATTCCAAACAAGTGTGAAGTCTTTGATATTTTGTTCGTCAGCAAAAACGTCGTCTACTGCTTCAAATGCTCCCTCAAATCCGATCCAACCCTCAATGAGTACCACGTGCTCGAGGAGTACGAATTGACTGAGCTCATTAATATTCATAAGTCATTTTTATGTTAATTAGCTGGTTGGGATGATAATTAATGGCAACAGGCCATTAGCATAATAATTAGCCAGGTGGAGAAGATAATTAGTAACATCATATCATTTGCATGTTAATTACGACAAAAAAAAACATTATGTCATTTGCATAGCAAGATTTAGAAAATGATAGAAATAGACGATTGGCATGTTTATGAATTGCTATCGATTGTAAGTCATTCTCACAATAAGTAGCCAGTGATAAAGCTATGAATATTCAATATAAATATTATAATAGGAATATCTTACTTTGAATTCTTAGGAGTTTGTTGAAGTTGAGGTCATCATCATCATTATTATTATGTCTTAATAATGATGACGGTGATGATACTTAGGCCTTAAACTGATTATTTCTACACGTTTTACAATTCATATATTCATGTTTTTGAAACAGTATATTTTTATACGTCTACACACTCACACAAACTCAAAGGCATCAATATCAGGTACGTACTATCTCAGGTATATGATTATTTTACGATATATTCACTGAAACATTTATTTTTATATTTTGTCATAAAATAATATTTTATTTACGTGTATGTAGATGATATATATTTCTGTATACAATGTACTTTTTTATTTTACTAGTTTTATAAATGTAGTTTGAGGAATTATTTTTTGAACGTAAAAGCATGTTAATACAGATATATATATATTTAAATATATATATGTGTGTGTGTATATATATATATATATATATATATATATATATATATATATGAATAAATCTGTCTTCTTAACAGAAGGTAGTTCAAGACTTGTCGAATCGAATAAATCTGTATAAATATATATCTTTTAATTATTTATCTGTTTGTTTTTGTCATACAATGTATTTTATTCTTAAATAAATGTAATTTGTGTAGTGCGACTATGCATCCATGTGTTTAAAACTTGCCTTCTCATGTACACACAATGTACAACAAACGTAATGTATATATTTCTCATGTGAATAGTTGGATAATTTTTGAAATTTTTCATGTGGGTCTTTTTCCTTTGTTTTGGTCATCTAAAAAGTGATTACATCTATGCATGGTTTACGTAGTTCTCACTCTCTCATCCATCATTTATATTTTACGATACGGTTAGAATATTGTTACAACTCCAGTTTGTGTGTATGTAATCTTCAAGAAGCGAAAATAGTTGTTGAATGGAAGCGTCATATAAACTTTCGGCCAGTCAGCATTGATGTTCGTTATCAGGGCTTAGTTAAAAATGTTTTAGCATCATCTTAAACCTGGCAAAACTTGAAACCGGCTGGTCCCGCGATGAAAGGGTACGTCTGAAAACCTCTTCAGGCCGTTAATTTATTGATCAATTTATTAATTATTCACTAATATAAAAACCATTTAATGAAATGAATTAAAACAAATCAAGTCATCGCACAGCACTAACATCGATGGATGCAAGACAAGATGGACCCGATGGAACAAACAAACAATAACAACGATATAGAAGTAATATATTTATACATTACGTATATAAATCCACTTTAAAATTACACAACGTTGATTTAAATAAATGCTTCTCGAAATAAAATCATTTCATATACGTACAAACATTATATATATATATATATGTGTGTGTGTGCACATACATACAAACATATATATTTGCGAGTGTGACTTTATCTTTATAATATATTATAATGTATATATATAATATGTGATGTTTATTGTACTGGTGACAACAGCCGAATGACAATGAAATTAAAATTAGATGGATGGATGGATTGATGAATGGATGGACTGTTTATTGAACATATATATATATATATATATATATATATATATATATATATATATATATATATATGTGTGTGTGTGTGTGTGTGTGTGTGTTGTGTGTGTGTGTGTGTGTGTGGTAAAACATTACAAGCTGTACATAATAACCAATCAAGGTACAAAAATTATCATTTTACTTCCTGAAAATATTTTTAGAGATAAACTAATAAATAAATGATTGAATGAATAAGTGAATGAATGAATAAATAGAAGAATGAATAATTGAATGGATGATTAATAGAATGAACAAGCTGTTAAACAAAAACACAACTTATAGAAGAAAACAAACCAAGGTTATTTATTATAAAATTTGTATATCAGAAATTCATAATTTTCAAAGTAAATTCATTAAAAAAAATTAAAAGAATTAACGACGATGGTAGCGGTGATCCGTCCGTACCGATTCGTACAGCGACAGAAATAATGACCAGGATCGCAATCACAATATCAACAACCACAACAACAACAGTGCGAGAACAACTATATCAAGAACAACGACAATAACAATGGTAGATAGGATAATTATACATATGATATATGTAATATATATATATATATATATATATATATATATATATATATATATATATATATATATATATATATATATAGTG